CCGCCGTGTTTGCCCCGTCGTTGCCGCCAGTTCACCCTAGCTGCTGCTGTTGTTACAAAGAGCTGATAGTTTTTTCTCCCAGTAATTTTGTTAAGCTTTATTTGTGCTTTAAGTTCCTTGAGTTATCTAATTCATTGTATTGAACTCGATTTTCCGTGTGTCTTAATTTGCCTGTAATTGGTATGCACAGAAGTTCCACTGAATGCCCTTAGGTTGTGAGCAAGCAGAAACATGTCCCCAGCTGTCCTTCCTTAACTCCATGCCTTATTTTATGCTAACGGATTTCTGTCACCTCTGCTCTTACTCCTGTGAGCTCCGGGTTAAAGCGTTTTAAACCTTTTCACTTTTTACTCAAAAGCAAATCCACCCATCTCTTCTTTGAAACTGGATGACAAAAGCCGAATATAACCTTCCAGCTGGAGAAGCAATACCAGTTTGCCATTCTGTTCTCGGTAGTGTTTTCTACCCTGGATGTTTTCTGTCCTCTTCCTTTGTCCTTTTCAGCACTCCGCACTGAAAATATCTCAGTAATTCTTTTTTTCTTAGTCTGGCTGAAGGAAACAAAACACTTATCCCTGCTAGTTTTTAATTCCATGGCCTATTTCAGCCATGTTTGACAGTGGGCCAAAAGCCTCATAAGGTAACTGCTTTCTGCACGTTTCATGAAAATTGGTGTGTGGGTGAAGGAAGGACAAGATACGCAGGCTGGTTCCCTTCGGGAGGGAAAGCTGGGACAGTTCAGCTCTCAACCCTTCTGTCTGGCAGCAGCTCCAGTCCAGCCCAGCACATGCTGGCGGCGGAAACAGGACAGGAAGTGACAAGGGACTGCTAAGGTGTATGATGGAGCTGGATCTGGGAGAAATACAGGTTTACTCCAGTATTAATCACCGTTGAGAAAATGTATTTATTATCATATGATTCCTGGACAAACTGATACAAATCCCTCGTTCCCCACCTTGTCCTTTTGACCATTGCATTGTCCTGTCAGAACATTCAAACTTTTTTTTATAGAGCTCTACAGAATACACTGACTCCAGTGCAGATAAAACAACAAGAAAAAAGTGTCCAGTTTTAGTGACATCTTTTGAAAATTACTTCACGTTTTCCTGCTCACAGGAGAAACTACCCTCCACATTTCTGGCCTGTGACCCTGCAGTCCAGCCTCTCATAAGCTCTCTGTCAGGGTTGGACCTTCTAAATAATACTTTTCCTTGATTGACTGCCAAATCCTTCACTGGAACATGGAGTTACCCTTCCGAAAAGGAAACTTTTTTTTGTCTGCACAAGTTTTTCCCATAGCTTATTTGTATTCATGTTCTTATTTCGGCTTGCCAAGAATTTCTGAATCTGTTTGAGGTTGTGCAAAGCTAATGCATTTGCACGTAGGATTACAACAGTAAGTTACATGGCAGGGTTAACATTGCTTCCGGGTTTAATGCTACCCAGGCACTTAATCATGTTGGTACCTTTCTGTACAGTTTGTTACTTCCTGTGTCTGGTGACCTCAACAAAGCAGGATCTCATCATGAAGAAGAAATACGGGTTCCCTCTCCAGTCTTACCTAGAGGCGGAATTTCCATCTTGTAGAAATCAACTGGAAGACTGACAGTGAGAATTAAGATATATAAAGCTGGTAATGTGTGTTTATTTCAGATGGTATATTTCCAGCGTGTAAAAGGATTGCCTACCTGTGTGAGTAAATACCTGCTTTTTAAACTTTATTTATGAAAACTGCGTGTACTTCAATGTTTTAATTGTAAGTGCTGATTTCTGTGTCCTCTACATTGCGTAAATAGCCTTAAATAGAGAGTCAGTGTTTTGTTTTAATCCAGTTTAAGAAGTTTTTATGCTTTTTTTCAGCTTTGCTGTTGTCACAATACACTATTTTGTTAAAAGCATACTCTCATCCCTGTTTGCTTGAACTGTTTTAATGGCCTGCTTTCTTTCTCTGGGCATCTCTCTCTAGCAATTGTCAAATATTTCTTACCTTTTTTTATTTTGTCAAAATTATCAGTTTTCTGACATTCTGTAAGAAAATAAAGTGACCAGTAGGATCCAAAGATGCAGAAATTGTTAGCGATCTTTTCTTATTCCATAGAGACCTTTCAGAATTAGATTTCAGGATTTTTTGAAAGTTATTTTTAGATTATTTTCTGTCCTGATCTGGCTCTTCTCTACCGTTTTGTTTTATTTCCTTCATTGCTTCTTTTCTGTATTCACTTTCTCCTTTTTACTCTTGTTCCTCTCCTCCTTGCACTTCCCGGCATTTATCCTTTTCTTTGATATTCTTTTATGGAAGTCAGCACCAGAGAATCTTTCTACTCTCCACGTTTTTGTACTGACAGCGTTTCAGAGAGTGGGTGAAGCAACTAATGGGAGGCCTTGGCTTCAGGGTTATGCAAGTATTTGCCCTGCCTTATGCACTTGTATGAGCAGCGCTTTAATAAATGCGCTTAATCTTTTCTGGTACAGTTACATACAGTGAAACTTTTCATGGAAAACGAGGTCGGTGGAGCTGAAGTTATTTAAAACCTGAATACTCATGAACGCATTTCATTCTAACATTGTTTTGCTTATCGAGTCTTGTTTTGAAAAGGGTTTAGTTTGGGGGACTGAGAAAGCAGTCATAAAATGTTCTTATAACCGTAAGCAAATGTACTTTTGAAACCACCGACCTTAGTGGAGCTAGATGATGCAAAACTGGAGGGATCTGGAGGGATATGTGAATCAACCCCATGTTTTGTGTGTACACCCTAATAATTGCCCCTTTGGATTTTTTGCAGTACACACGCAGCTTAGTAACAAAGTAGGCAGTTACCTCTCCCTCTGCAAACACTTTTCTTCCATCCTTTCTTTGGTGGTATTTTTCTGGGGAAGCAGGAGGACAGCAATCAACTCTATTTACCTTCTTCCATTGACATATCTGAAGTGGAGCAATAATCTGTTTTTACACTACACCTCTCTGTTGTACTTTGTTGGGGTTATTAGCTGTACTTACGTTGGGATCTTCTCATTGAATTACAAGCCTCCCACAGAGATAATCAGGGTAAAGAAGGAAATCTCCTGATTTCCCAAGTCATAGTCTTTGACATCAGTCCATTTCAACACTGTTTGCTTAGCAAGCTGTTTTTTCTTCTTTTTTTTTTACATCAGTTACAGGTAAATAATACTCTGAGCAAGATCAGGAGTTATAAATCCCTTGATAGCTGCTTTTATCTGCTGTCACATTTTGATACTTTCGGTTCAGCCGTTTTGATAAATTAATCTTTGTAAGTAAGTATTCAACTCACATATAGGAAAGCATCATTTTGAGTCAGGATTATTTTTCTTCCAGTCTAGGGGAAAGAACAATGGAGAAAGCAAAGAATATTTTCTATGAAACCTACCCTGAACAGAGAATCCATTAAAACCAGAAAGGTCTTCAACCTCTCATTTGAATCTCTTGAAATCCATTGTCAGCCATAAAATGCCAAGGAGGACACCACGTCCACCACAGTGGACTCAAGTACAAAGTGTTTCTGCAGGGTAGTGAAATATTGTGAAGCCAGAGCGTGTTGTTACAAGAGAATGGGGAGTTGTGACAGGAGAATAGTGCCAGGTATTGTATGATGTGGTTAGCCCTGGTAGCAGAGCGCTGATTTCAAGGACTTAAAGACTCTCCAGTCTTTTAGTAAGAATACATTTGTATTAATAATTAACACCTTTGTTCCTGTAAAGCTATTAATTTGTGTTCAGACACAATTTGTTACTGTGCCAAAAAAAATTGTGATGTTAATGAACACTCTACATGATTGTGGAGTCTTAACACTGATGACAAAGCTGCATCATGCTCCTCCCAGATCAGGCACAGTACTTGGTCATGAAACCTTAATAGCCACCTGTTCAAGCTTCCTAAGAGAAAAGGGAACTGGTGCCTTGTTGCAGACCTCTGCAGGAGTCTTGCGCTGGAAGCAAAGGAAAACTTATCAAAGATAGAAAAAAGAAAATAAGATGCTTCTAAGAGGATATATAAAATAAGGTCCCAGAACAAAAGAAAGAGGAAGAGATGGATAGATAGGTTTCCACAGATAGGCGACATAGCAGGGCTTGGATCAACAAAGTTCACCAAAAGAAAAAAAAACAAAACTGGAAGTACACCATGGATCACCAGACAAGCGATGAAGTGTAGGATGATTTTAGATATTCTTAATGAGTCTTAATTTCAGAGCAAAGAATGCCACTAGCCTAGTGAGGAAACTGAGGCAGGAAGTTGTGCAGAGTATATATGATTTACTTCTGTGTATTTCTTGTGTTACTAAGTAAAGTTTCAGTATCCTGTGCTGAGTTCCTGCCTGTGTGTTTGTCGCCATGCCTGTGTTTGCAGATGAAAGAACTATGCTATCATGTGTCTCTGAAGGTAGAAGTTAGAAATCAGGAAGTCAAGACTTTTGATAGGAATATAGGAGAAGTGTGAAAAGTCTTGTGAAGGCCAGTAGGAAATGTGTTTTCACAGCCTAGTACCCACATGGCCAGAAGGGGTAGGTAAGCTCTACCCCAGTGATAAATGTGTAAATCCGCCCCCGCCACACACACACCAAATCATTATGGAAACTGCCCCAGTCCCAGCAAGCTGAGAGCATGAAAACCTCCAGCTCTGGTTCCTCTCACAGGACCTGGAGAGTGCTCAGCATCGGAGGTCAAGACAATCCATTATGTTAATGTAGGTTAATTGTGTCTATAAATCTAGTATTATAGACTAACCTTTATTGTCCCTGACCTGGAAGAAAATTGAGGTGGGTGAGGTAGCAGACAAATTTAAATAAATACAGAATAATTCCCATTTCACACAGTTTTCTTCTGCTGCAACACTGTATGCGATGGGGGAAATACGAAGACTTTTTATTACGGTGTCACCTTCTCTAAACATTATCACTAAATGTGTCCCCTTAATAAAATAATGCTACGTGTTTGAACTAATTATGCCCTCTTGTCTTTTTGTTTATTTGGTAGTTTTAGAAATCTTTCAGTTGCCTGGAATATGGTGGAAGCAGTATTGATTGATCTGTTTGGCCTGCCAGTGAACTTGCAGAACAGCATCCAAGATTTACTGTGTAACATGCTGGGAACTACTGAAGAACGCTCTTCCGTCAGTGCTCCACTGGTCTATGTCATGTGCTGCCAGACACAGTGGAGTGAAAGGAATGATGAGCAAGAGTCCTTGCTTGCAGCTCTGAGAGATTTTCAGAGTCTGAAGAAAAGACTGGAGGTAGTATGTGCTCTGACGACAGCTGCTGCTTTGTACACCATCAAAGAAAGACTGGATGAAAAAGACTTAAGTGTCATTAAAATTGTTATACCTGCCTTCAGGAGGCACTTAATGAAAGTATATATAGACCATCTCTTTACTGCAGTCTACCAGTTTGAATTTGAGGATTTACAGATGGCATCTGATTGTAATAACCTACTGATAGCTGAACCTCAGACTGAAGGGCAAACATATCCCACCCAGGAGGTGGAGCTTGTCACTAGTGAGATTCAAATGCATTTGGAAAGCCTGCCAAGCCTGAAAGGGGAGCTCACCATCCTCAGATCTTCCCTTATCCCAGGTAAAATGGAAAACAGCTTCTAACTATGCTTCAGCCAATGCATTTTATATAGACTGTTCCTCAGCATACTTAGTTTAAGGAAATCACAAAATTGCTCAAGATTTGGAAATCTCTTCAGGCAGCAAATAGTACTATATGATGTTGTAATATCATGATATGTCATGATACTTCCCCCCCTCTTTAAGAGGGGGAAGTATCAATGCAAGTGTAGTAAAAGACTGCAAGTGTAGTAAAAGACTCCCAGGTCTGTGCCAGGCCTGGGGTCACAGAGAGAGGAGGAAGAGGCCTATGCTTATTGGCAGCATTACTGGAGACAGGCAAATCTCTTCCACTCTGTGTGGGGATTACAAACTGTGAAAGTTACCTTCATCTTCCTTAAAAGCAAGGCAGGATTTCTTCTGTCCTGTGACCTCATGCATGCCTTAAGGTTAATCAGATCAGTATCTCAGTGTCCTTGCCATGGCGTGACGCAGCGTACTGCAGTATGTTTCACGTGCAGTGTGGTTACAGCATCTCCTGATCCAGAAGAAAGCTGAAACGTTTGCCCCTACAAATATTTGGAACTATTTCTCCCTAAAAATGTATCTGAAATCATCCAAAACCTGAAGGGAACACAGGTGACTTAAAGCCTTCAGTCTCTCTTTCCCATTGGGCTTCAAGTTCTTGATTGTGACTTTAAAACAATCACACTACATGAAAGATATGGCAAATCTCCAATCTGATTATATCACTAAGCTCCTCAGCTATTAAGACAGCAAATGCCAGTTCTGGGGCTATCTGTATTTGACTTTGCCATGCAGAAAAAATCATTTATATCTAAAAACACTCGTTCCCTTTGGGTGCATGAGGCCATGATAAGGGGTCTGCACTGTAAAAATAGAGGATTTTTCAATTAAATTAGTAGTTCTCAATGTTTTGAATGTCCTTTTGAAAGGTGTGTGAGATTCTGTAGGAAATCTTAAGGGTGATACATTTTCATTTGTCAAAAAACCTTGGGAGATGCCACCTTAGAGTATTGCTTTAAAATCAAATCTCATTTTCTTCAGTGAATTACCTCTTCTCTGGATTTTGCACATTTTCTTACTTTTAGCAGAGCAAGAAGGAAGCTTAGCACCGTTGCGTTTAAATGTTACAATTAACTAAGAGGTCAAGTAATTCTCAACTTTCTTGGCTGATTCCAGTTCTTTTCAGCATAAAACCATGTACAATCTGGATTTATCTTGTCTTGAAAGCAGTTGTTTGTTGTTTTCTTTGTTTTGCTAGATGATATCTTCCTACATGGATTCACCACAAGGACAGGTGGGATCTCCTACATACCAACTCTAAGCTCCTGCAATCTCTTCAGCAGTTCCAAGCGGAGGGACCCACAAGCTGTGGTTAAAGAAAACCTCCGGAGGCTAGCTAGTACTGCAGGATTTAACCCCGAGACGTTTCACAGGGTCAAGGTATCTTATCTAACAATGAATTTATGTAAACTGATCAGATCTTCCTTCATGTATCACTAGTTAAAACTGTGGGAATTATTCTTATCTTTCTCAGCAAGAACTTGTGAGAAGTAGGACAATAAAAACATTCATTCTGGCAGTTTATCTCTGGGAATAGCCCTCAAAACTATCAGCCATTTGGCACTCTGTGGAGAAGGAGCACTGTTTCTTATCCCAAGTATATTCTAACAGATCAGTCATTTAGCTTACCACAGAGTAGAATAATCAGATAAATGATCAGAGCAGTTTCTCCTAAAAGAAAAAAAATAGTTTTTCTTCAATGACTTTCTATTGATACATTTGCATAGCGTTTGAACAAGGGAGTGCCTGATTTGCGTGCATAGCAGTTAGTGCCAAGGAGAATGTTTCAGGCAAAGAAGGTTCTTGCGTTAATCGGAACTTGAATTTTTGCTGCCTTATCACTATGCATATTCTATTTTTGTCTTGACAGATTGATCATGGTAATGCTGTGTATATTATGGGAAAGACAGAGCCTGACAGCTATGATGGAATAGTTACGAATCAGAAAGGTGTTACAATAGCGGCTCCAGGGGCTGATTGCATACCTGTGCTGTTTGCTGATCCTGTCAGAAAAGCCTGTGGTGCTGCTCACTCTGGTAAGGAATTTTAAATCACAGATACCAAAATGACCAGAAGACCCCTGGAAAGAGAGCTTTGGACTGGGATTTATAAATTAGCAGCTGAAGATGCGCTGAATGAGAACAAATAAATCAAAGATCACATAACAGTTTAGTTCCTGACTTGTTAACGTTGTATCCTGCCCAAAAAGGACCAGTCTTGAGAATAATTTGTTTCTAGAGCTATGAAATTTGTTGATTTTACTATTTCTTTTCTTTGGTCTGGTTGCTGAAACCAAACTAAATTTTTTGTGCCTCTCCAAACTTCTTATGTAAAAGAATGCCTATAAAGCCAGTGCCCCCAACAGCCATTTTGAATCAGAAATACTTGTGTGACACAAACCAAGTGAGAATAAAACTGAAGCAGATCAGGTGATACGTTCCACTTCTTTACAAGATGTCCCAACTGTTAGGCTAGAATACCTATGTGGGGAGATTGTCCCGTCGGAGCTCTTTCACTTTATAAAAAAGAGCTGTGTTTGTGAGGTCAAGGTGAATGAATGGCTGAGAGTTTCTCCTTGGCTTCAATGCTAGTACACCCCTTTATATGGTGGGAGGCTTCACCTCTACCTTGACCTTGTGAATATCACCTAATTCATATCATTCTTCATGCGTTCCAAAAATTAACCATAACCAACTCAAATTTGTGAATCATCATACCATGATCAGAACTTTGATTTTCTGTCAATAAAATTGTTGCTTCCACCCCCACCCCTAAGAGTTTACTGAGCCTTGTCTACAATACAGTTTAGGTATCATTGGATGCCTTTGAAATGCAGACTCCTGACAACTTTCAGCAAGGCATTCTGTGGATGAGTTGTTCTGTTTTTCTTATATGATCATGAGAGGCTTTAGTCATATTACACAGGAGCTTCATAAACTTGTCTATCCTTAGGAGATCCTTATGTGGACCATAGCAAGCTTAGGTTAAAAATGGTGGGAGGAATGATAACTCTACCTCAACTGACTGGGAGAGAGGGGAGTGTTGTAGTTTTAATGGGGAGAAGGGACAGATGGATTTTTTCTGCTCCTGAAAGTTTTAAGAGATTGAAGTTTTACAGTGAAAGTGTTTAAACCTCATTATAGGTAAATACTTCAATCTGTAGCTATTATTTTCTGTGCTGCCTTTCACTTACTTAGTTCTGCCTTCCCTGACCCACGACACTGCTCCTCCAAACCATACTGCTGCCTTCTCCATCCCTACCGTCTGTACCCAGAGTGAACTCCCACCTTCCGTTCCCCAATTTCTGGGCCTCATTCCCACATCACAATCCTTGCCAATTTTCCAATTATCTTACAGTTTTCCTTTCCTAAATCCTTTCTTTCCTGTCCAACTTGACCTCAGTTCATGTCTGACTTGTGCACATGTTGCTATGTATACAAATAAAGACGATTATGTACAGGGACATCTCCGTCTTTGGATGTGGAAAAGTAGAGGAAATGTAAACTAGCATATCCTATCCTTTGGTGTGAGGCTCTCCCTGTGCAATGCAAAGAATTCCTGTGACTCAAACTAAGATATGAGAACTCAAAGCTGAGCTTTCTTCTATCTATTCCAAACAATGCCAAAGTGCAAAGGCAGTTTACATTTCCTGTGATTAAACATTGCAAAGCTAGAGGCTGGAACTGCCTTATAACAAACACATACCAATAACGCAAACACATTTTCATCCTTTTATAAAAATATGTTTTTAATTGGAACATATTTCTATTATGCCATATTCCCATTGATTTGTTCTAGGCCAGGACAAGCAATAAGGTGTGTTGTAGTTGCCAAAACCAGGACACTGGGAGGAAGGAATTCTGGAATCCTCATCCAAACTCTTGTCTTTAGTTTCCAGCTCTGCAAAACAGTAATATCACTAAACTGTCAGCCATTAATTAAAAAAAAACCCAACTAATTATTTGTGCTGTGTCTCTGCGTTCGTGTCCTTAGTAATGATATATGTTTTAGCTACTGTAAAGTTAAAGAGAAAATTTTTACAATCTATTTAACTGTTAACCTCTCATTTCTCTCAGGATGGAAAGGCACTTTGTTAGGAGTTTCTATGGCCACAGTGAATGCTATGGTATCTGAATACAACTGTAATGTGAAAGATATCCTTGTGGTGCTGGGCCCGTCTGTAGGACCTTGCTGCTATAAACTTCCTCATGAATCAGCTAAAGAGTTTCACAGAATTGATCCAAAGTGCGTGAGACTATTTGACTCTGCAAGTCCTTATATTGATCTTAGAAGAGCAACACGGTAAGTCTGCATTCCTGTAACAACGCTTTTTTTGTGCTGAGTGGACTAGAGATGAAGGCAAAAGAACTTGTAGCACTAATCCCACTTTAGTTATCAATATAGAGTATTATCCAGCAATATTATGATCAGGGTTACAGTACTCTCCGCCACTTTGCAGATCAAGCTTTGAATGAATAGTATCAGCTAACCTTTGCTGGTTTTCAACTATTATTTTACTGTTATGCTTTAAAAATAGTTTCTGATCTCTAGACAAAGGTTCAAATTAAGTGGGTTCTTAATGGTTGTACAAAAGCAATAATTTTAGTCTAATATTGAGGAAAAATCCCCCAAACCAAATAAAAGCCTCAATCACAATATCGGCATAGTTTATTTAGATGGTATTTGAGCTGCTGAGTAATAGTATCTTAAGGATTGTGAAGATGTACATGCAGATCAATTGTTTTCTGTTTCTCTTCCTTTCTCTAAGGGTTCTTCTTGAGACCAGTGGGATTCTTCCTGAGAACATCCAGGATGATTCTGTCACAGACCAGAATCAAAATATCACTTTCTGTACTGCATGCCACCCTGATAAGTTTTACTCTCACTTTCGTGATGGCACTAACTTTGGGACACAGATTGGCTTCATATCAATCAAAGACTGAGTTAGCATCTCTTATTCTTGAATGGTATTTGGACAGTAAGTCTGGTGCCTTGCCTAGCATCCTGCTCTCCTAATAGGTCTTAATCCTTGCTTTCATGGACTTTCAGTAAGCAATTCACAGGTCTTGAGATTCTCCTGCTTTCCTTCCCTGCCATTCTGAGACAAGAAGAAATATCTGCGGTATAAGGCCAATAATTCTTGTGGGACATGAGCCAAAGGGAACGAGGGCAAATTCCACTGTTGTCAAACCCCCTCTGAAATACCAGATGCAAGCTCACATTGTTTTGCCTTCTTGACCAACTATTTCCCAGAAACCTCAGTGTCTTAAGATGGTGAAAGCACAAAAACCACAAAGTGTATTAGCTTCTGAATGAGTCTTCCGAATGAAGTTAAGTATAACATATCGATACAGGAGAGGAAACCTGTATTGCATGTTAATTGTTTGGGAACACCCGACTTCGGTAATTTCCGCTAAAGGTTAGCTATACAGAATGATATGCCTGGACTTGTTTTTGTTCTTTGGATTAGTTTAAAGAAAGCACTAAAACGCTTACAGGGCTTTCCCTATAGAAAAATACCTTAAGTTATAAAACTGAGATGCAAGCTTATGAACCCTCACCCTTTGTGCTTTTTTCATTCTATGAAGAATAGGACTAAGGCTCTTAATATGGTATGACATCTATGCTTATATTTCTTTAGCATTTTTCATTAAACTGTTGACTCTCAGCTAATCTCCATTGAGACTGTCTGAACAGTCCTCAATTATCTGGTAAATATTTTGAAAGGAATGTGAATTTAGCCAGAGGATCAGCTAATTTTACTGACGAATAGTTGACTTACCTGTTTTGCTAACAAAACCTAAAAGTACCCAGTTTTCTTAGGCTCCTATAGAAAATTTGTCTGTAGACATTTCTACAGATATGACCGTTCCTGACACAAAAACAGCGGGAACCTTCTTATAGTTCAGTCCTTTGTTTTCAGGTCTAAAACTGCTGACTGTAGCTTGCAGAGTTCCCAAGCTCAGCTTGGAGAGAGCTTGGAGAACTGGCCATAGGCAGTACGTTCTATTTTTGAATCCAAAGGGCTTTACAAATTCCAGAGTGTTTTGCCCACTAGAGGTCAGTGCTCACTTACTCTGCATTTCCATCCCTAGCTGCACTTTGTAGCTGGTTTTTCAAACAGCATTTTGCAAAGCATTGTACAGCATACGCTCCTACTTTTGCCAGTGCAATCATCTGCCAAGTTACTCTGGTATCTGTGCTTGAATCTATTTTTCATTTTTCTGGGCTGCAATTCAGAGCCTTGTCCTCTTGAAGAACAGATTGTTGTAAAAACTTTCTTTTAACTGTCAATGGTGTTCCTTAGACAAGAGTGATTCTGATTACCCTGTGATTATAGCCATCTACCAAAAATTATTTCTTCCAGTTCTCCTACCTCTTCTTTAGAAATATTTATTTATTATTCCTCTTGTGCTGTAGTACTTTAGGCCTTTAAAATAACAATTCTTTCACTTTCAGTTGTCTTTGAAAAACCTCTCTGTTACTTTCATCAAGCTCAGCTTCTGTCTGTGACTTTACTGCTGTGACATTCACAGCTGGGTTCAAATTAGACGTTTAAGTTCCAACAGGGGTTCAGGCTCACACTCAGCAACTTAATGCTGTTAAACATGTTACTGCACAGTAGCTGAGCTACAATCATGGTATGTGTGTGTATTATTGACCTATGCCAAATATAGAGTAAGATATTATGGACATTGACAGGCTTATCTTGCTGCACTCGGTAAAAAAATCCCTACCCTCACTATTTAGTCTATCCCTCTGCCCTCGTATTTAAGTGTGCACCCACTTTATGGGCACTGCCTGACCTAGCAATGGAGTGAGTAAGACGTGTTCCCTTCTGTTGTTTCTGCTATGGGGGCAGTAGCACCATGTAGTCTTCAATCCCTGCACCTGAAGCTCTGTCAGAGCTTGTCTGTCATTGCCCATCTCTTAACCCTCTTCCTTTGTGGATTAAGAGTATGCAATCAAAAGCGGCTGAGTTACTCTGTTTTGCAGATTACTGGTTGGCGGCCAAAACATCGTAGGTGCCCATGCACCTGCTTTTAGTCCATCTCACCTCAAACGTCGTTTTAAACTAACGCATTTTCACTTTGCAGTAAGTAAAATGACCTTGCACCTACGTTAGTTGCCACAGTTCAGATGCTGAACAGTATATTAAGACACACTATCTTGAAACCGATTATAAACCCTGGCTTGTTCATACCTGCTCAAGAATGGCAGCAGAGACTTTTTCTGTTTAGAAAAACACCATTTACAGGTCATGGAAGGACCGTGCAAGCTGGAGAACATGGCAGAATGAGCAGAAACACCAAAAGCTTTGCCTTTTAGAAGACAAATCGTTACCACAATTATTATTCATTAATTCGTTTACACGGAATTACTTACTTTGTAAACCTGTCAGGACAGGAGGCAGCCTTTTGTACATGAATTGCTGAGGGGGAGATCTCCAAGACCAATAAGAAAATAGTAATAATAATAACGTCGAGCCCCTGCAGAGGTTAGGCGCTCTATCATATATGGAGAGAGTTTCTTTCAAAAGTCCTTGCTACAAATGCATTATAATTCAGGAATAAAAAACATGAAAAATTTAGGAAGGACATGCTAAAAAGAAGAAGAGGCTGGTTTTCTATCTGTATGTGAAGAATTTGTAGATATTTTCCTTTTTTTTCCTGTTGCTTGCTGAAAGACTCAAACAGATCATCCCTGATTCACCATCTCTAGGGAAGCTCTTAAAATGTTTCGTAAATTGTTCAGCTGCACCTACTTACTGACCATATCCTATTTATTAACCTCACCCATGAATTTATAATCTATCTCTGGTCTATTAGGTTATTAAAGAACATTATTAATTATCATTGTGGCATACTCTGAGGAAAGCACAAGTACATGATCACATTGAATACTGGTTTTGGTAGATCTTACTGTTTATTTGCTGTAATTGTAAATTCTAAGCACAGCCCTCTTCATTTACATTTACATATTTGAATTAAGTAAATCAAAGCGTTTTTGAGAAAGGCCTTAAGCACTATTCTGGTAAAACAGCGCAGCTCAAGTGTATAATGGCTGCAAAAATACAAAGGGGTTTAGATTAAAAAGGGCTTAAATGAATTTGTAGAGGTAAGGTCCATCGGTGGCTATTAAAGATGGTCTAATGATAGTCTACTACTAACAACCCTTGGAGACAGGATACTGCATTGGATGGCTGAGCTAATGAGAGTGGTAGCAGACTTAGAAGTTGTGAGACTGGACTGTCAACAGAACAATAGGACACATCTTGACTCACAACAAGTGTATCAAAATGACAACACATTCCCCCCAAATTATAACCATTTAATGACAGAAAGGTATCACCTTTCCTCAGCAGTAATACAATTTGCAAAGTGGTCTTACTTGCCTTCAGCCTTATTTTCCTCATGTTTATCTCTTGTCCATTGCTATCTTTCTATCTGGCAACATTCACAACCACCCACAAGGCCTCTGAATCAAGTAACAGGCTTCACTGAGCAGTACTGGAGGAAGCAGATCCCATTTTGTGCAGACCAGTGCAATTATTGCTGTTTTCTGTACACATGCCTTTTTTGTTTTAGCAACAATATCTTCCCTCAGCACAGCATCCTTATCAGTGTCCTCCAGCCCATTCCCATTGTGCAGATTTCCACAAGAGCTCCCAATTTCCAGCCTCTATGGCAAATAAGTCAATATTCTTAGATTCACTCGTTGCTGTCCTCATTTCCACTCCATGCTCAGTTTGCTGTTGGGTGATGCAAAGAGAGAGATGAGCTGCACTTAACTTATCCTGAGGCTCTGTGTGTGTGTGTGTGTGTGTGTGTGTGTGTGTGTGTGTGTGTGTGTGTATGCATTAATGTCGTGTGTTAGGCTTTTGTTCTCTGAGCACCAAAGTCTTCTCCGAACTCAGATCTCCTGTGCAACGTTATAACAGGACAGCCAACTGACAGGGTTAGTAAATTCTACATGTGACAGAGGAAATAATGTATTGACCTGCTGAGAGATCTACATACCTCTAAAGAGTGACAGCAAGCTCAGCCTGTAAAGCTGTTCTACTTTCCATTTCCAGCAGACAGTAGCCAGCGTTTCCAGATGAAAGATTCAGTTAGAAATGCATGTGGATTTAAAAACTATCTTTATTGGGTATGTTCTTGTATCCAGAATGTTACTTACTGATTGATTGTTATCCAGTGTCACACCATTTTATAAAACTAAGAGCATTTGCTGGTCTGCTTGCTTTAAATACATAGTGCCTGTGGCCGTGCTGCTAAAGAGCCTTATTATGTGTTTCCCAAAGGCATGCAGAGGAATAGGAAGCTAGCTTTCTAAAGTGGTCTCTCTGATCTTTCATTAGTAAGCGTTTAATTTACAGTAGCATCTCACGTTTCAAATACTTTGCTGGAGCTCTTTGTCTGCAAGTTCCCGGGAGGTCAAAGGAGACCTACAGAAGAATTTCATCAGCTGGGTCCCGGGTGCACGGCTGACTGAAATCTCTCTATTCCACTTCTGCAAATGTGACCTCATGTCTCCAGGGCAACCTGAATTCCAGCAATCATGGAAGCAAGGACACAGCATGGATTTCCATTTGATTCCTGGAACAGAAAAGAGATCTGAGACAAAATCAATATGGACTGTACTAAACTGTTAGGGTTCATTTTCACAAATGCTTTTATCTAAGGGGTCAATTCCTGTATTTTAGTTCAAAAGTAATTCGTAAATAGTAACTATTTTATTTGTATTCCTGTGTTGCCTTTTCCACACATGGCAAAGGCCTAACCATCTGAAATGGGTTGTAATGTAAAAATGTGGGGTATGCCTACCATAGAACAAAACATGCATTTTATAAGGGAGACTGAAAACAATGTCTGCATTTCAGAATGCATAATTCACTTTTTATTAGGCGATTTAATAGTTCAGGGCAGTGATTCATACTTTTGGTCAGCTATTTTCATTTAAAATATTTTTACTAATGACAGCTATAGAAAGCCCTGTCTATCTGAAATAAATATTTTAGGGCTTCTCTGTGAGGCACTGAGCTCTGTTCTAAAGGAACATTCAAGTATACACCATTGCTGAAGGAAAACATTTATTTTCTGCTTTGGTTTTCTTTGTTTGAAAGCGATGAGCTTGATTTTCCTACACAGGAATGAATCACAAAGAACTCAGTTATATAATCAGTGTTGTGACAGGTGACTCAGACCCTTTTAATAGGTTTTAATAGGTGCTTTTAATTGGTATTTCATAAAATTAGTATTAAAATATGATTATACAGGCAATTTTATTCTAAATCTCTGCTTTCTTTGTATATCATTCCAATGAAAAACTTGCAGGAGGTAAAAAGTGAGCAGACCAAGATGTGAGTTAGAAAAGCTCCTTTAGGCTCGTGGACAGTTCTTGCTACATTTGATGCTTAGATTTTCTTCAGTTACCTCAACTGCACTGAAGCTTTGCTGAAACTCTTCCACCACTGAAGCATCCCAGCTTATGTAACTCCAAACTAGTAATGGTTGGAGTCATAGGCATAAGCATAGGCAAATGCCTATGCTTCAGCCTGCCTCATGTTAGCATAATTGTAATAAAAATGTTATGCAATGATTATGAGAAATTATGAGAATGTTCCAGAAAAATCTCATGAACAACTCCACACTTATTTAGTATTTTAGGAGTTATGAATCAGTAGTAATTTTTGTTTTGAACTTTGTAGAGGGACTGTTTTTCTGTTGTGCTTGCAAACTTGTGTTTCTCAGTACAAAAAACCTTGGAGCGGTCTTAATTGAATAACCTCGGTCTCTCTCCATTCCTTCTTTTTCAAGGAGTCATAGTCTATTGCACTTCAATTAGGATTTATTTTAGACTTCCTAGATATAATTCATAATCCATCACCTCATTCTAGAAGCAATCTTCATGAATGTGGCTCAACTCAACAAATGAAAAATAGTGGGTATTTCTGATGCTGACATAGACTTTATGGTAGGAGAAAATTTTTATCTTTAGCAAAAACTTCTTCAAAATCTAACACCAACACAAGGAAACTAAAAAAATGGAAATAATTTCATAGTTTTACAAGGAAAGAAAATAAAAGCCTGTGACAGCTTAACAGTGTATGAGACCTAACATTCCTCCCTTGCATTATATTTACGTCAAGATTGGATGCCTTTATACACGCTAATTTGTCCCCAATAGACTGGGCTGAGCTGGAATAAAGGTGTGAAGCTTTATGGCCACTGTTATAAAAGACAGCAGAAAACAGGGGGATACAGCGGCCCCTCCTGACTTCACAGTTTATCGCTGTAGAAGCCATATTTATTCCTAGCTGGTGCTTCTGGTTCTGGTGTATCCTTTTAGCAAGTGAGTTAGAGAGTGCTAAGGCTGGTGATGAGCCATGTTCTTCCAAGCCAATATCTGAGACTGAAAAAAACAGCCAGTCGTTCCTTGGCTCTGCTGAAGTCTTGGAAGCTGTTATAAACAAACAGAAGCAGGGAACAAAAACTTGCCTTGGGATGCAGCTAGCCTGCATATCCATAATGAGAAACTGTTGGAAAGAAGAGGCAGAAAAAGACAGCATCATGACAATGAAGACATTTCTACGCCTGCACTTGGGAGATGTAGTGCAAGAAGAGTTCATCCAT